CTCACTCAAATGTTTAAAAAAATCCAAAACGTCTATCAAAATAAAAGCTGCACCAAGTTGTTATTAAACTTTGTGTGAAGGTATCTCAACATTCACGAAGCCAGATTTGATAAACTTTTTTTATGAAATGCTACGAATATGTAGAATTCAAATAAAAAAAAATTCATCGAATTTGGCTTGGTAGATGTTGAGATATCTTTACTCAAAGATTTAAAAAATTCAAAACGTCTATCATAAAGAAAAGCTGCGGCAAACTTTTTTTAAAGCTTTTGAGTGAAGATATCTCGACACCCACCAAGCCAAATTCGATAATCTTTTTTTATTTAAATTCTATAGAATCGTAGAATTTAAATTAAAAAAACTTTATCAAATTTGACCTGGTGAGTGTTGAGATATCTTCACTCAAAAGCTTTAAAAAAAGTTTGCTGCAGCTCTTCTTTTTGATAAACGTTTTGAATTTTTTAAATCTTTGAGTAAAGATATCTCAACATATACCAAGCCAAATTCGATGAAATTTTTTTTATTTGAATTCTATGGATTCGTAGAATTCAAATTTGGCTTGTGGGTGTCAAGATACCATTGCTCAAAGTTTGATCTACATGGGGTATGAATAACAAAAATAGGGGGTACAAATAACAATTCCCTAACTATAACATATTAATTTTGGGATTATGCTAATTTTTGGGTCTATTTAAAACTATAAAACTTACTAAAATCCAACTATACACTTAATTAGTAAACCCTAGCTCTAAACTCTAATTAAACTATTAGCGGGTAACAAATTTTGAAAATAAATAGGATTTTTTCAATAGTATTTTTACTATGTTGAATTATAAATCAGAAAAATAAAATGAGATTCTCTGATTTTAACTTTGAAACCTCCTATTATATAAAGACTAAAAAATATATTCCCAAAAATTTTAAAAATTTAATAATAAAATTGTCAAAATTTCAGCATTATCCCCGACATTACTTATTGCACATTTACTGCGGTTATAAATAGTTAAATATAACTTTACAAAGGATTTTTTAGAATATAATCAATACACAATCCAATTTTAAACTGCTAACAGGTTCAAAAAAAACCAGGTTTTGTTATTATATCGTACTGTATAAGCGCATTATTTCGGGACGCGCATGCGCGATAATTCGAATCATTATGCTAATTTTGAAAAAAATTTCAACTACTTTCTTGAATGATAATCTGTTACATATGGAGGGGCGTGTTATTTTGAGACGCGCATGAGCGTTATTTTGAGTCAAATATGCCATTTTTAAAAAAATCGAAATTTCGAAATAACGCCCATGTGCGTTATTACGCGCTTATACGGTATTACTAATTCCAAATAAAAATTTATCGGAAAATTGCTACTAGAAAGTTTAATTTTTAATTCAGTAGAAATATTAAGCATAATTAGTTTTTTTTGTAACCTCCATTCAAAAAAAAAAAAAAAAAAAAAAAAAAAAGATTGATCAAAAATTTCAATTTACGGTTAAAGAATTTTTATTTTATCATTATAAAGACGTTTTATTTAGTAATAATTTTTAATAATTGTTTTAACCAGCTCTAACAAACAATTTTAGTAGTCATAGATATGTCAGATTCCTTTTGGCTACAAATAATTTTTTAATTGTAGCATTAGAATCGAATTGATTTTTGTGTTGTTTCTAAACATTGATTGGCATTTTACACGTGAGATTCTACATCACCATAATTAGATTTAAGAAGATTAATTCAACATTTTTTTACGTAAGTGGTATGTAGGAAAATATATTCAGACCTAATAACTAATAATCTTAACTAAAAACAATTTATTATTAAATAAGTAGAATAGTAAGATATCGCAAATACAAACTTCTAAATTACAGTACATCTTTACGATCCATATGATCCGGTTATTGCTCAATTCCGTCATTCTAATACCGACATGCCATGTCATCTAAAGCACATTTTTTCGATAAGATATATATATATTCGACATTACATTTTTTCAACAATCCTTTTCTTAGACAAGACATTTCCCCGACAATCATTTCCTCGACATAAAATTGGCCCAATCTAGCATTAAGGTGGCTTGATTTGGAGCTAATGTTGGTTAAAATTATGTGTCAGAGAAATAACTGCCGGAGAAATGTCTTATCTAAGAAAAGGATTGTAAAAAGTATGTTATATCAAATATTTGTCTTATCAAAAAGTGTTCTGTAAATGAAATAGCATGTCGACATTACGGTGTCGTGGAAATGAGTTGGCGGGAAATAATTTTCGGGGAATATACCGTAATCTATGATCCACGGGGAAGACCGATAAATATGCATAATAGAAAATTTTGACAATCAAATTAGGAAAAATGAAAGATCATAGAATTTACCATAGATAGTCCTTGTATTCAAGTATAAGTCGACCATCCGAATCGCAAATTTTGTTCATGTAAAAATATGAAAAATGACAGTTTAGACCTGTCTTGGAGCATTAACAAAAAATGTCTGGAAGGCAATTTTACCTATATACCTACCCTTTCCCTTATCCTTACCCTAAGTCAAACTAGTCCCAACCTTGATTTTAATTGAAATTTCAAAATCACGTGATATATGACTTTAGCCATCTCCCATAGATGGTAAATTTAATTACTTTTAATTTCCGCGGTTGCATTTCCTTTTATAAGCTTATACAATGACCTATTCAAATTTTGACGATTTTTTACCTGTGTTATTAAAACTATTTGTCTCTCATAATGAGAATCTAAATATCAAAAAAACTTTTATAAATATAAGCTCAAACACGCAATTTTGGCTTCATTTAAATTTCAGGACTTAAAGATTTTTTAATTTTGTTTTTTTTTTTCCGATAATATAAAATAGTCATGAATTTTTCGCATAATAAAAATTTCATAAATCCAGTAAATGTCATTAAATAATCCAATCCCTACTGGAATTCAATTCATAATGTGGAATAATATTGATCAACATTTCCAATAAATTAATCATCTCTATATGCAAAATATTCAGATTCCATAACCCGTAACTTAGGAATATATGTTTCAAAGCTTCTAATAAACATCTTCTCTTAAGATGCAATTGGTTAATCCTACAAAAAGGGAAATTTGCATTAAAGTAGCACATACCTATATTAATATGTGACGTATAAATTTAATTCGCCATCCAGTAATAGTAATCATTCCTTTCTTTTTACGCTTAAAATTATTATAAATACTGTAGTGCATTTTTAATAATTATTTTTCACCTTAACATCTATTCAAATGGCGCGTATTAAAATTTTTGGCTCCGAATTTAAAGTCCCTGAGCCAGAAGAGTTATCGTTTGAAAACGATAATGGGATAGATAAACGCCTAAGCGAATTTATTATATTTCGCAAACTCTTAAGCTACGTCTTACGTAAAAAAAACAATCACCCTGGCGATATTGAAGAAGTATCTAAGATAGCTTCGAATGAATGGAAAAAGAGAACGCCAGAATTAAAAGTCTTTCTCAAAAGTTATACTGCTAAGGTGAAATCGTATCGCAAAAAGAATTTATTTCCCACCTTCAGAAGTTATGTACCGAATAAAACTCGTTCTTCGAAGCGAAAAATTAAGGCTGCTGTCCGTTCGAACCAAGATGACAATCAAGGAACTAACATTAGTAACAACCAAGGAACTAACATTAGTAACAACCAAGAGACTAACTTTGTTGACAACCCTTCTGATATGATGCTTAATGGAATTCAACTTACTACAAGCACTACTCCAAGCACGGGTGTCATAACCGTTACAGATTTTAATTTGATTGAAGGTAATGATAATGTAGTCAGCGGTAATACCCCTGATCCCTATTATGCTTTGTTTTTAGAAATTATTGACGTAGAACAGTGTGAAGGTGCTGGAACACCACAGGAAGAAAATTAATGACACCACTGGAGCTTTTAATGTTGTAAATTCTCGAAATTTAACAACACTGATGTAGAAGGCATTTATGGAAAAATTAATTCTTTCTATGATTTATATTATGATATGTATTTATTCTTGCATATGTAATCTATATTATGTTTAACTTTAGTAATCCTTTTCTTTTTAAAAAAAGCGATGTATTTCTTTAATATCTTGTATTATAGTAGAATTAATATTAAAAAAAAAAAAAAAAAAAGGAGAGGGAGAGAAATAAAAAGAATAAATCTTACTACAAAAATCTAAATTCGTCAGAGTTACAAGTTTTGAACTTATCATATCGACAGATTTGCAAATTGAACTTTTTTGCTAGTTCTCAGATCTAATAAATAATAGTCAACTCAGCAGTGATCTGCGTCATCAACATAAAAAATTTCGCTAAAATGTTTCGCTGTTAAGTTAGTGTCAGGGTTTGCTATTAAGTTGGGTCAGAAAGAGCTTTGCTGATTTCAAAATTTCGCAAGGAAGACTTTTTGTTAGTGCGCAAAAAGTGGGTTCATAGATAAAATGTTGAGTTATGAACGATTTTTGATTTGTTTTGATTTTTACGATTCATCACATTACACCTGACCTTGAAATCTAATTGGCTGGCGAAATAGTAACGAAATTTTTGGTGTGGTAGGACTGTGGTTAAATTGGTCAATCATCCTTCATATCTTGATTTGGAAATTTTAATAATGTTACACGCAATACTAATCGATATTGTTTCGGTTCCTCATGAATGTATTTTGGAGTGATTGCACAATTATTGGTAGGGATGAGTAATTATACCGTTTTTTCCGGAATATTATAACCCATGTGTAGCATTGTGAGCAATGATATTTGTGAAATTGCACATGTTAATATTAATTGCCATGTGAGTGATGGTTATATATGTGTGTACGTACGTACATACTATGTACACGCACATAAATGTGAGCGAATATTAGGTTTAAAGTGCATGAAAAGTGATTATAATTAGCTTAATACGTATAACAGTTTGTGATGTAAATATATAAGCGATTCTAGCACATATATGCAATATAGCCATATAATAACTTAATTGATTCGATTAATATATGCTAGAAAATACTATAGAAACCATTGAAATATGAAAGAAACGTTTAATTGGTTATTACACACATGGTTGTTATCCTCTGCCATTATCAAGAAAAATGATCAACAAAAATGATTAAGTAGTCAATTATTGTTCTCTATAATTAAGTAGCAGCTTTCAAAATTTTGATTTTGAGACAAACATTTAATATTTTCATTGCTCTAAGACTGCTATCCGAAATTGTATATTTTTTCAGTTCTATGGAAATTAAATTATTTTGATAAAGTTTTTGTCAAATCTATAAGCTTCCTGAAAGTCAAATTAACCTACATTTATAATTGTAGCAGGGATATTATGCGTAACTGGGAATTATTCTAAAAATATTCACCACAGTACCATGATATACTAGTAAAACGGCGCCGTTTCGCAGGGCTGGAGCCTTATTTATTACACGCTTAAACATGGAAATAGAATTTATA